CTCGCTTCTTCTCACTTTTATACAAACAGAAATTATAAAATATGTTTGTATTTGTATAAAGCGAGAAAATTTGTGTGTGTCTGTGTATATACATATATACATATATATATATACACGTTCCCCTCTCTCCCCTCTCCTAGATCTCGTCCGCCACTCTCGCCTCTATCACTTATACAAACAGAAACGAATTGTATGAATTGTGTTTTTTTGTTTGTATAAAGTAAGAGAAAATTGTATATGTCTTCGTCCTATATACTTATAATTATACAATAAAAATACTCTCCTGCCTTGTTTCTTTTGCCTTCTTTCTTTTTCGTTTTATACAAATTCAAATTGTATCTAATTTTTCTCTTTTTTGTTTTATACAATTCAATTCAATTATATATTCCCTGTTCAAGTCTCTTTTGCCTTTCTCTCTTTCTCATTTTATACAAATTCAAATTATATATAATCGTACTATACACTTATAATTGTACAATTCGTTTTATAAATTTTGTTTTATACAATTCTCTGTCCAAGTATCTTTCTCTTTCTCGTTTTATGCAATTTACTTTAATTGTATATGTAAAGTAAATTATACATATAATATGTTTACTATAAAACACAATTATACAAACTTTGATATAACATACAAATATGAATTTTACAAAAATTACCTCTTTTTTTTAGGGAAAATTGTATATAATAGCAAACTAATAACCTAAAATAAATGGAATAGCTAGGGTTTGATTTAATTGTGCTCCATAGCAAACGTTAGCTAAAATTTGTCAGCGTCTCTCTCCCAAAAATCTCGCTCGCCACTCTCCATTCTTGCTCGCCTCTCTCGCTTTATACACAGAAGTGTATAATTCTGTTTCTGTTTTGTATAAAGCGAGAGAAAATTGTATATACAGATGCAAAAATATATATCTTCGTGTTATACACTTAATTATACAGTTTACAAACATTTTACTTCAAATATTGCAGAGAAAAAGACCAACGAATTATACAATTGCGAATTATACAATTGCAGTGAAATACAATTTTCTCTAGCTTTATACAACATAAGTGTATATATATTGTGTTTCTGTTTTTGTATAAAGCGAGAAAAACACATATCTTCTTGCTATACACTTATAATTATGCAATATACATACATTTTAATTCGATTCAACTGTATGCAAAGTAAATTATACAATTGCAGCGAAATAGGTCAGCGAATTATACAATTTAGGCCATCGAATTATATATGTATAGCGAATTATACAGTTTTATGTTTGTTATGGAGCGTAATTATGCAAACTTTGCTATAACATACAAATATAAATTTTTTATTTGCTATATATGAAAGTTGCCTTTTTTTTATCCGACGTTCATCATAAGCATCAACCTATTTTATTGGACCTAACTTCAAAAGGCCTAAAAAAAACAACTAAAGCCCTAAGATAGTAGATCCACAGAGTGCACGTAATTTGGTATAGCACGTGACCTCCTCCAATTTCTCCACGTCGTAATTTCGTCCTCCAAATAAATTTAAAAAAAATAAAATATCAAAGATATTCCTATTATTATCCACAGTTCATATATTTCTCACTCTCCTCATCTTCACGCTCTCTTCTCCTTCACCGATAAACCCTAGAAGTAGGGTTAGGGTTTTAGCTTACTGTTTTTTTTTTCATTCGTCTACTTCTACTGCTTTGCTTAGGGTTCTGCAGGCCGTAGTTATATTTTTCTTTTGTTTTTTGTTTTCAGAGTTTTTTTTTGTTCATTTGTTCGAATCTGAGTGTTTTAAGTAGCTATGGATTTCCGGAAGAGAAGCAGGAATGGAGCTGGTTCGAACTTCAATGGAGGTTTGAAGAAATCAAAGCCAGGTTTGTACGTTTAATAGATCTACTCTCGTTTTCAGTTTTATGCTTGTTTGGCCTTTTTGAATTGTCGTTTTCTCGTGTGGATCTTATGGAGGAATACTGTTTGCATTATCTGCACCGTCGTTTATGTTGTTTAGATTTTGGTATGTTCATGTATCATGTATTGAAAGCTTTTCTGTATTTCATTTGGCTCCTTTGTTGCGACTTCTCTTGTTATCGAGGGAGGTGCTAGAGCAGGAATGGCTGCTGGTTGAAGTACTTAGCTACGCTTAATTGAGTAAAATACTCTCCTGAAAAAAATAAGTAAAAAATTTATGTTTAGGAGGATGAACAGAGGCTTGCGTAAATCTTAAGAAGCGGAAGAAAATTTTGAAGAGAGACAACTTGGTGTCTTAACTGTTTACTCGGGGAACTATAATGTTTATCACTTGCAGATGGAAGAGATGAATTTCTAATAATTGAAGAAGATGAATTCTCTCTGAAATATGCATAGAAAGCCTGAAAGCTTTATCTAGGTGAAAAGGGGCTTTATACCTTTATTTACTGCGATGATGAAGGTATATCTTACAGAGTATATGGTGAACTCTCTTCTCTAATATTGAGATTCTGAGTTCCCGAGTTATAATTGAATGTAGTTCGTTTCGATGTTAATAAAGTATATTATATCTTTAAAATTTTGTCCAGCATCAATTTAGGAAGTATCAAAATTTCTAACTTGTAAAAATTAATTAATTTGGTGCAACAGAAATGGACTCCTTATCGGGTGGTATAGGAAGTAAAACGAAGCCATGCACGAAGTTTTTCAGGTTCAAATCTTTCCCACCTAATGACATTTTTTAACTTTAAATTTGCTGTGGAGTATCAAGTGCAAGATCCAAACATTCAGTATTTTCCTGTTGTGAGAAATTTAAAAGCATAAATATTCGCCCTTGAGGGCCGAGGCTGAGGTTGATGAATTCTCAATAAATTGTGTAATAGTTAATGATGAGACAGATGTCTGTTAACGATGTCCATAGAGATAAATATTTACCTGCTGTGATACTCTTGGAAGAGAGGGGAACTCTAAAATAAAATATTGTCACAGTCCTCCAAAGTTTTTATCTACTATATACTGCAATGAATTTTTTCAAGCCTTAATATGTTTCAAACAGGTAAGTAATTCTTTTTTTAACTGTAAAGCTGCTCAGAGTTGGTATAATCCATGTAGAGGTATTTATATGATATCCCAAATGACTGAATCTCAGTTTTCTGTGTCTACAAGATAGTGGACTTCTTAAAAAGTTTGAGTTGCAAAATGGTATGCTAGGCATCTGCGGGACACTTTACCATTTGATGCTTTATTTTACAAGTACATGCCATATCCTTTTTGAAAGAGCAATGAGCTTGGATTTAGGTGCTGTCCTTTTTCTTCAGTTCAGAAGGCTTGAATTGTTGCTGAAATTTTGTCTTTGTGATGCTCTTCAATTACATGAAAGGAAGTACTACAGTCATAAACTTTTTAAATCAATGCATTCTTAGCTAAGATAGAACATAGTGCCAGCTCACGATCCAAGATGGTGTATCAAGTTATCAAGAGGCTCAGTTGTTGTCTGCACATACATTAGGTTGGTGTTCATAAGGATTCTTTTATTTTATTCAAAGGAGTAGTCTTAGAGAACCCGTGCTTGTCTTAAAAGTTATTAGATTGTGATGAAACAGGCCAAAATAAAGCAAATAACCTGAAGGATTCAGTCAATTCGACCTGATTTTTTGTTTGTTCAATTTTCCTCAATGTCAATCGAAGTGAGTACTTTTTTATGTTCATTGCTTTGGATGAATAACAGGGAGAGTTGTATATTTTCTTCATTTGAACATCACTTGTTTCAAAAAACCAGTTGTTTCAAATGTTCTTCTCATTGGAGATTGGAGAGGGCAAAAGGGAAGTAGTTGTACTGTGTCTTCTTGGTGATTGTCTGATTGGAGCATAGGAAGTTAGCAATCCCTTTTTTGCAGCTCTGTTGTATGTATATATTGGTTGCAGTTATCCACCATTGTTAAAAGCACCTGAGTGCAACTAGAGTGCTTGCTCTTTATGTTCTATGGGATGCCCTTTCCCTTGTTCTTAGAATATGGTCTGGATAAGATTCTCATTTGCATAGGTATACTAGTCCTGTTATGGTGAACTGATAATATGTGCTGCCTGGATCATACCTCTTTGCTGATATTGAGATGGGAATTATGTTTTTGACCTGGTTTGGAGTTGATTTTGTTCGATTTGTTTTTACACAGCATTGCTGGCTGCCCATTCGGTGAGAGCTGTCATTTCCTTCATCACGTCCCTGGTGGCTACAATGCTGTGGCCCAGATGATGAACTTAGGATCAGCTCCAGCATCAAGAAATGTGGCTGCACCACCCATGTCCAATGGAAATGCTCCTGCTGTGAAAACCAAACTTTGCAACAAATTCAACACAGCTGAGGGATGCAAATTTGGAGACGCATGCAATTTTGCTCACGGGGAATGGCAAATTGGTAAGCCGATTGTGCCATCACAGGAAGATCCACGTGCCATGGGTGTTGGACCTGCTCCTAGTCGTTTTGGTGGGCGGACAGAGCCTGCTGTTTCTGGACCTGCTTCTAGCTTTGGTACCACGGCAACTGCAAAGATCAGTGTGGATGCTTCTCTCGCTGGAGCAATCATTGGGAAGGGTGGTGTGAACTCTAAGCAGATTTGTCGACAGACGGGAGCAAAGCTGGCAATCCGGGAGCATGAAACAGATACAAATCTCAGAAACATTGAACTGGAGGGTACTTTTGAACAAATTTCTCAGGCTAGTGCTATGGTAAGAGAGTTGATCAACAGCCTTGGTCCAGTAGGTGGCCCTGGAAGAGATCCGGCTGGTCGTGGCGGCCCTGCCCCTCCTATGAACAATTACAAGACGAAGCTCTGCGAGAATTTTGCTAAAGGGTCTTGCACTTTTGGGGATAGGTGCCACTTTGCCCACGGGGATGCTGAAATGCGCAAAACAGGGGTGTGACTTTAAGAAGGCAACTTCTTCCCTGTGTTACCCTGCTTGTGGTTGGTCATGCTGATACATTGTATATCTCAATTTTGGGCTCTAGTATTACCTAGGCATGATTTGGTATCTTCTTAACAGTACACTACTAATTCTAGCTTTTTTTGAGTTGTGTTAGTTGCTTATTAGCTCTGTTTTCTCTGTACTTCCATTTATTTGATAAATCCCTTCAATATCTTAGTAGGTTTTGATTGTTGTCTGAAGGATTTTGCTTCTCGGAGGGCCTTTGAACCATTAATCGTTTTCTTTAGCGGGATGTATATCTCCATTAGTACTTCTGCTTCAAGTTTGTTTTTCTATCTAACATGAAAACTACTACTTGCATCAAGTCAGTTTGTCATTTGGAATAAACTAATTTGCATTTCTTGAAACATACAATAATCAGAAAATATAACAACACGAAGAAGAGGGGTAATTATACCCCTCAAAAACCTATTACCAATTGAAGCACCTAAATGTAGTGTCATTAAAGGTAATATTAGGCTTCAATTGCCAAATATTTATTGAATTCTCTGCTTAACCCGTAACTTTATTGTGCTCCTCCCGAGCTTAACTAGCCCTGGCTAGCAGTTATGAGGGTGTCCAGTGGTTGTGTTTGAATAATGTGGCCTCCCGGTGCCTGTGCCGGCGCCGTGGTGGAGAGCTGCATTCCGGTCTTGAGTTGCGTGCTTATTCATCTCTGCTTCATAAATCCTTCCATCTTTCTTCTCTGTTGCCACTGCTTTCTCTGTTGGATCATTGGCTTTCATCTTGTCCACCTTTTATAACAAACAAATTAAAACGAATCGAGGAAATTAACTGATAAAATTATAAATGAAAAAGTGAAAGAAAAAAAAAAACCTTTTCTTGGACAGTAGCTTTCGTTTTTTCCATGCCAGATTTTGCCGAAGCGGCAACATTTGATGCTTTTTCCTTCAATGACTGCATTTTCTTGTTCTAATAATTATCCTTAATAGTTTCTGTTAATGTAAAAATACACTTATTTTAAGCTTCGATTATCACGATTTAAATATATTTGGTCAATGAGTAAACGGTATAAGCATCTTACATTATCGATTTTCACTAACATTTTGACATCTGTTGAAACAGGTGTTAGAGTTCATCGAATTGTTAGCAAAATGTCTGAAGTAGAGACTTTTCATGATGAGGAAAAAAAATGGAATTTTCTTTAGTGTTTCATGTTGGTTTTTACTTGAATAAAAGTCATGGCAATGGCCAATGAGCAACAAATTCCAAGGAGATGAAATTAATAAATGACAATATTTTGAATAATGGTTTTCCTAACAATGAGATAAGTATAATATAATAAAATGATTTCTGTCTCCAAGTAAGCAGTACAATTAGAAATCATCTTCATTGTTAACTAAAATTAATAAATGTAATGTGGGATCTCTATCATATTATCATATAAGAATATAGTGGAAAAGCCATATTGATTTTCTATTTTCTATTTTAATTTTAGAATAACACTAACTTGGAAATGGAGAAAGTAGTATTATTCAACTTCTAAGGTCCCAAATATGATATTTATAAAATTTTACAGGGGACTTTTTAGAAAAATTTTTGTTTGAACTGTCATATGCCAATTATGTTTCTTAAATGACAATATTTTTCATTAATTTAAGCTAGAGCCCTACAAATTTATGAAAAACAATTAAAAAATTCATCAATCTTTGTACACTTATAAATGAAGAAACCATAATTCATAAACACCAGATTGATAAATCACACGCTCTTCCATATTTTTAAATTAAATATCCACTAATCTAACTCTTCATTTAATCTTCTTATATATTATTTTTTCATATATACACTATATGAGCAGCGGCAAAAAATTATATCAAGACAAAAAAAATACATGATTAAAATAATTTAAAAATATTATTTTGGGTACGTGTAATTAATACAAACCACTCCTTCAACCTGTTTATCTAATTCTTCAAATTTTAAATTCCTTGTCAAAAATTTAAATTTCTTATAAAAAATTCTAAACATTCACGTCAAAAATTTAAATTTCTTATAAAAAATTCTAAACATTCACGAGTAGGAGCGATTAATACCTAAAGTAAAAATGACTTAAAATGCTTAGTACCTAAAGTAAAAATCAGCTAAACTTAAATTATTCCCTTCAACCTTTTTATCTAATTCTTCAAATTTTAAATTTCTTTATCTAATTCTTCAAATTTTAAATTTCTTACCAAAAGTTCTAGACACAGAAACAGCTTAAAGCATATTAGTATCTGAAGTAAAAATGACTTAAAATGCATATTAGTGCCTAGTAAAAATCAAACAGATAAAACTTAAATTATTAATAATTTTTTTTAAATTAATTTTTTAATAATATAATCATTTTTATTTTAAATTATTTTTTATAAAATATTAATATTCTAAATAAATTAAATTTCTTAATTTCGTCATTTCTTTTAATAATTCTTCCTTTAATAATTTCTTGATGAAAAATTCACTTTTTTTATTGAAGTGATCCATATTTGTTAACTTATTATTATTAAAAATGAAACCCCTAGATTAAAACACAAGCATTTTTCTCAGAAAAGGGTAACTTCTCACGCCCGAAAAAACCCGTGGAAAAGGAAAACCACCGATTCTGGGATGGAAGCTTCTCTTACTAATTCTCACCCCGAGGAAACGAGGGGGGCAAAAAACTTCTAGAATGGAAGTTTCTCCAACTAATTCTCACCCCGAAGGAACTCGAAAGGCGAAAAGCCACCGCTTCTAGAATGAAAGCTTCTCCTTCTAAGGTTACTAATTCTCACCCCGAGGAAATGAGGGAGGCGAAAAACTTCTAGAATGGAAGTTTCTCCAACTAATTCTCACCTCGAAGGAACTCGAAAGGCGAAAAGCCACCGCTTCTAGAAGCTTCTTACTAAAAATAGAAGCCCTTAAATTGGAAAGGCTAAAACACCTACTATTTTTTTTAGAAGTGTGAAGCCACCACGCCACCACGGTATATAAACGTACCTATCCAAAAGTGAACTGATGTGAAACAAAACAATTATAGGAAGAGTTACCACTTCATTTATTTATTTAATTTGGTGTCAAATCTTAAAAGCCAACACCCACACAAAAGTGTGTCATCACATCACTTCCCATATAACAAAGCAAAAAGAAAAAAAAGAAAAAAAAAAGAGAAAATCAAAATTAAAAGCAACTAGCTTCATTTCTCCTTTTTTTCTTCTAGAAAGTTGTATGATTGCCAGTGGCACCATAACCAGTAGTTCCAGTTCCAGTGGTAGCAGCTCCTTGTTTTTCAGCTGCATGTTGTGCTTTTGCATCTCTCTTACCCATCTCCGCCGCTGCAACCCTATCCTCTTTCTTCTCCGTCGCCATCTCTTTCTTCAACGGATCCCTCGTCGTCATCCTCTCCGCCTACACAAATACGATGGGTTATCAAAATTAAAATCAACGAAATTTTAACATAATACGTACACTTAATTTCACGGATAATTATGACTTTTAACTCTGACTGTGCACTTAAAAATGCACAAGACTAGATATTGACACAATACATATAGAACAGACGCCACACAGGACATCAATTTGCCATACAGGCTATTATGGAGGACAAATATGTCCACTCATTTGATCTTGTACAAATTTAAATACTACTTAATACATACCTAAAATAAGAGTATAACAAAAGTTTTTACAGATTCAAATACCTACTTCTGTAGGCTCAACGTTTAAAATCATGATTATCAACTGATGTCGAATTAAAAATCTAAGTTTATATACATTTTTAGTGTAATTTGCCCAAAATATTTTTTAAACGAGTAAATAAACCTCATTTATTAACTCTATCCATCATTCAAATTCAACTTAACTAGCACATAAACAATTAAAAAGAAAATCTATTAAAAGCAAGGAATTGGAAACCTTCTCTTGAACATTGGCTTTGGTTTTCTCCATGCCAGCTTTGGCTGCAGATGCTGCGTCCTTTCCTGTCTGCATTTTTCTGTTTTTCTTAACTTAAATCAATATAATTCGTTTTCTTCTCTTCTTCTTTCTAGAGTCTTTCGTAATTTCGTTTTATTACGAAAAATTACGAAAATTACTTTATATAGGAGTTGGATGGGTAACCTAGTGATGCCACGTAAATATTTATAAACGTACGCGTGGTGAGTCATGAGATGTAGAAACTTTGAGGTCATGACACGTTTTGTTTTTCAGTAATTGAATAGATAGACATGTTAATTCCTTTTTTGGATTTGTATCAACAAGATAGTCCATGCAAAGATGACTTTGAACTCTATGTCTTTTATGTAATAAATAATGATTACTTCTTTTTTTTTAAAAAATGCAGAGTATTTTCTGTGTTTGCTGGACAGACTAAAATTGGAAATATATTTTATTTGCATAAAAATGAGAAACAAGAGAATTGATCGTCGATATAGTTATATTACTATTGAATATGGAATAATATAGTTACTAATGAAATATTCGATTATTGCTGTAACAATAGTCTATTTGAATATAGTGATGACGCACTTATCTTTGCTCTCTATTACTTATTATTATCGAGTTAAAGCAAAGCTTTTGAATAAGGATTCTGTTAAATCATGCGTTTTTCGTTTTAAAATTTATATAATACTATAAATTAATTTTTAATATATATATATATATATATAAATAGTATTTTCGACATCTTTAAAATTGATATAGAGACCTTTATTACATAACAAATATATAATAAACCGTTAGAACTCACTCATACGGAAGAAAATATGCGCTATTAATAGACAAAAGTATTTGATAACTGGGGAAATTAAATAGACTTTTAACATTGAAAATCAGAATCAACTAGGACATAAATAAAATATTGAATCGATTTTTTTAAAAAAAAATCAAGATAATAGCTATAAATAGTCATTAAAAAAGAGTAGAAAATTGAGCCTATATGAGTGAATGATATGCTCCAAAGCACCTAAATGAATCTTAACCTAATTACTTGGTATAAGACTACTCTCCTACGGAAAAGACCCGTCACCTGCTTGTCTATCTATCTCTCTTAATACTAGATTGATAATGGCCGTGCAAGCACCGGCCCAACACGTAGCGTATTAAGTTTCAACCGATACAATTTTGCATAACACAATTAAGTAACATACTATATTGAATTAAATAAAGGACAACTTTCACATATAGCAAACAAAAAATTCATATTTGTATGCTATAGTAAACTTTGCATAATTGCGCTCCATAGCAAACATAAAACTTTATAATTCGCTATACATATACAATTGTATAATTCGCTGGCCTAAATTGTATAATTCGCTGGCCTATTTCGCTGCAATTGTATAATTTGCTTTGTATACAGTTGAATCAAATTAAAATGTATGTATATTGCCTAATTATAAGTGTATAGCAAGAAGATATATATTTTTCTCGCTTTATACAAAAACAGAAACACAATATATACACTTCTGTTGTATAAAGCTAGAGAAAATTATATTTCACTGCAATTGTATAATTCGCAATTGTATAATTCGTTGGCCTTTTTCTCTGCAATATTTGAAGTAAAATGTTTGTAAATTGTATAATTAAGTGTATAACACGAAGATATATATTTTTGCATGTATATATACAATTTTCTCTCGCTTTATACAAAACAGAAACAGAATTATACACTTCTGTGTATAAAGCGAGAGAGGTGAACGAGAATGCAGAGTGGCGAGCGAGATTTTTGGGAGAGAGACGCTGGCAAATTTGTGGCGAGCGAGATTATTGGGAGAGAGACGCTGACAAATTTTAGCTAACGTTTGCTATGGAGCACAATTAAATCAAACCCTAGCTATTCTATTTATTTTAGGTTATTAGTTTGCTATTATATACAATTTTTCCTTAAATAAATTATAATAAATATTATTTTTCATAAAAAAGGGTATTATATGACTATTTTTTATATATAGCTGCAAAATAGACACTATGCGTCTCCAACAACAAATTCACAACCACAATTATTTCATCTCTATGCTTTGTTCAGTTTTGTAGCAAGTTCATATATGATTTGCACTGAGCTAGGAAATAGCTTCATCTTACATGTAAAGAGTACTTACAAACTCATAACTACATAGGCTACTTACAAACTCATAACTATGTAGGCTACTTTCTTCCTTTGATAATGGAAACATATTTCTTTTGTTTCATGCATACATCCTAGCAAACAACACCCATTTATCAACAGGTCGTATATAACTACAAAGGGATCAATGTCTTCCTGAATCAATATTTTCAGCAATGATACCTTTGGCTGTCTTAACGCCTTTCATATGTTCATGGGAGGTTTCAAAAATGTTTGGTTAATGCTCCATCCACCCCATCCAACTCCAATTCTGAAAAAGTAAAAAGGAATTATTATGTATATATAGTTTCACTATTGATTCTCTAACATCATAAGTGTTGTCTTTAATAGGTATCCTACCTTGGTTGTGAATTTTGAAGGTATGGAGATACCCTTAGAACTTTAGGGGAAGTCAAATGGTGTTAATTCCAGCAAAAGTACCTTCACACTGTTTAAAAAAATCATTAAAAAAAAAGATCCTGCACACAACACAGTGAAAACTGAGGGCAACATATAAAGGAGCTTAATTTGTTCGGTCTCTACTAAAGTATTGCTTACCAATAGTATAATAATAAATGAGCGAGGTTTAACTGAAAGCATCACCGGTTGAGTTAAAGCAGAATGAAAATTCACAGATTTTGCCTTCACAATAAATATTATGACGTGAAGTAACGTTCTCAAACTATATTTTCCATCCCTTGCATGTAAAAGAAAAAGATCGACAACAAGCAGCTTATGCAGTTACGTAGAAACAATTTATAGACGAAGTATGATGTAACCTTAAATAATTAAGGCAGCTATATATAACAAACACATTTGCTTACCCAAGTGGTGTTGGATTTTTTCAATCCCTGCATAATATTATATAGGCATCATACATGAATGTGTCCTTAATTAAGAGCTTCAGCTCTACTCCTTCCTCAGTTCTACTAAGTGCCCTTTCATGAATGGAAGGAAAGGAAGTAGGACGACCAAGAGGCAACCTTACCCAAGGTCAAGCAATTTGTCAAAAGTAAGCTTGTATAGAGGTGAAACAAGTAGAATTGGAATAAATAGTTTGAATGAGAAGTAAATGATTACCACAACAACAATCATAAAAATTTTAGACAAACATATGAATCCAAGGTAATAAACAATCAAAGAGAAAGATAAATTGAAGAAGATAAACAATGATATTCAAAGCAAACAAAAGATTAATACTCCATCATGAAGTTAGTCATAATAACAGAGACGGAAACCTACAAGAAACATTCAGAATAATTAATAGTTGGGTTAATTTTTTAAGCCGCTTAACTTATATACACTTCAATTGAAAATAGATTAAAATGTAGTACAAATATTTTTATCTCGGAAAACCTCTAATTTGAGGAAGAGAGCCAGAGAGGTAATAAATAACAAAATTCAAATTTAGAAAAGAAATATAGAAACATTAAAATCAAATTTGATTGAGAAACACAATTTTCAGATTCAGTTACAATGTTGATAAGTGAATAGTGAGTCAAATGACTACAATTCTGGAGAAATAACAGGGTGATTTTTATCTCAATGTTTGCCCTAATTCAAGTTCTTACCAACATAAAAATCAAAATTTCATGAACCCAAAAATTAGAGTTGACAAATACGTAAATAGGAACTCTAATCTATATGCACAAACACAATTCAATGAAAAAATTGAGAACAAAGAGAAAAAAATAACCGAGGGAAAAAAGTACCTTAATGCTCTAAACAACGACGTCATCTCGGCACACAAACTTTTTGATAAAACTCCGCACCGAACCATTTACCTCTGGAACTCCTTAATTTGAGGTTATGCTAGAGCCCACAAATTTAGAAATGCATTTTCGCTGTTTAATGATGTGCTTCATTCTGAAAGCCTGATAACTTCACTTATGCATGCCTTGTAAAAGCCAGCTCTGAGAATTTTGATTTGCACAGCTTAAGAGTATTACATGGAGGGGTTGTTCTATCTGGGTTGCAGTTGGACTTTATCTGTAGAGATCTTCGTGAAAGCTTATAGGGATAAAGCTCAAGAATGGAAGCCACGTATAAGAAAAATTAGATGATCACACAGACACATGGAAACAAAATAGAACTGTATGGAGATGAAACAGACATGTTGATTAAGCTCTTTCTAATATAAGAGAAAATAATAATAAATAAATAATAATTTTAAAGTCTAAACGAAATAAAATAGGGAAAATGCACAAGTACCCCCTCAACCTATGCTCGAAATTCAGAGACACACTTATATTTTACTAAGATCCTATTACCCCCTGAACTTATTTTATAAGTAATTTTCTACCCCTTTTTAGCCTAAGTGGCACTAGTTTTGAAAAAAAGTCAAAACTCGTTGGGCCTACAAGATAGTGTCACGTAGGCTAAAAAGGGATAAAAATTATTAATAAAATAAGTTCAGGGGTAATAGAACACCTTAGTATAGTATAAGTGTGTCTCTCAGATTTCGGGCATAGGTTGAGGGGGTATTTGACATTATCCCAATAAAATATTATCAAAAGTTTCAAATGATATATAAATTATCTAAAACAGTAAAATTGCTGAAACAACAACGATTTCCTCCGCTAAAAAAGCAAAATCAACAAATTATTTTATATTTGATTTTTTCAAGAAATTTTGATATTTATTTTTTAAAAAAATCACATTTTGCAATATTTTGCTTTTTACGGCAAAAAAATAGCCACAATTTTATCATTTTGATTAATATTAAATTATATAAATTTTAAAATTTTTATTAATATTTAATATCATTTCCGAATTCAACAATAATTAGTAATTTCTTTTTATATCATTTAAGCTAAGCTCCGAATTCAACAATCGTTATTAGTCCCTTGGCGATAGAACAAAGTATATTTGAAGTAATCAACAAACTATATTCTACGCATATAGATATAGTTCAAAGTTTTATATAATTAGGTAAAAACCTAAGTAGTCTCCTTTTTACGGATATATAGTTGTATATACATGTTGAAATTTACTTTAAATTGTATGTTTTTATTACAACAATGATGAATTTTATTCAAATTGTAATTTATTCGATTTTGAGACTGTTTCTTAATTGTAATATGAAATTTGAAATCTTAATATAAACATGACTAGATGGGTGATGTACACTACTCAAAAACTCTTTGAGAAACAAGTAAAAAACTCAGGCTACACGGTTTACATAACATTAGAAGTATAAATCTTACAACTCTCACAAGAAAAACTTCCTAGCTAGCTAATTAAATGGCAGAATCAGAACCATGAAGCCCACCAGTATTAGGGCCTTGAACCGTATCTCTTCCGCTTCCTGCGGTGGTCCCTGGTAGATAATCGCTCCCTGTGGTCCCGGTTGAGTGCTCCGCTGCCAGGCCTCGTGGCATCACACCAGTAGCATGCCCTGGTGTAGTGCCACGTGTACCAGTAGTGTGACCGAGACCAGTATGATCCGTGGTGTGACCGAGATCAGTATGACCCGCGGTACCATGTGTCCCGGTGGTGTGACCGAGACCAGCATGACCCGCGGTTGGGACATGCGTACCAGTGGTGTGACCGAGACCAGTATGACTCGCGGTAGTACCATGAGTACCAGTAGTGGTGTGACCGAGACCAGTGTGACCTGTAGCCGTGCCATGTGTTCCGGTGATGCCACCACCGGTAGCAGTATAAGCAGTAGTTCCTCCAGTGGCAGCCGCTTGTCTCGAGGCTGCGTTCTGCTCCTTCGCCGCCAGCTTATCCATCTCCGCTTGATGGATTCTCTGCTCCTTCTTCTCTGTTGCCATTTGTCTTTGCACTGGGTCACTTGTCGTCAGTTTCTCCGTCTGTTCAAACAAAATTTCAATTAAATCTATTATAACATATGAGTTGCAACAAATCAGGTGTATATAGAGTCATTTTCTTTGTGAATTAATCTGATTTTATAAAACTCCCTCCTTCTCATTTTGTAACACATTTCACATTTCATATATGTTTTAACATATATTGTTGAATTGATATTTTGAGTTATTAATTATTGTAATTAAAAAATATACTCATCTCAAAAAAAAACTAATTTCACTTCCGAGAAACGAAAAAAGTGCTATATAAATGAAAGAGAGGGAATGTATGTGTTTTTCACTAATAACCAAAAAAGTAACTAAACAAACTATATATACCCTTATAGAGTTTACAAGGGTTACTTTAAATTTAAAAAAATGGGGTAGAAAAGACCTTCTCTGTAACAACTGCCTTTGTTTTCTCCATGCCAGACTTAGCTGAAGCGGCAACATTAGCTGCTGTTTGCTTTGCTGCTTCCATCTTCAAATTATTCCTCCTTTATTTTTTTTTGGTTATGTTGATTGATTAATTAGGTCTGATTCGTTTAGAAAATATGATTCGATGGGGGCTATAATATAAAGTTTATTTTGATTATAAATGACGCACAGGATAAAATTGTTCATTGTTTGGCATGATTTAAGAAGAACATTGGGGGGGTGATGCCACGTGGAATTAAAGTGATACGTGGATACATATACGGGTTGGATGCATGAGATTCAAACACGTTTATAAAATTTTGTCAAAATGATAAAAATTGCTTGCGGCTTAAGTTGTGAGGATTTGGTTTGCCTCGTCCATTTTTACTTAATTCAATTTAAAATAAAATATTAATATGAATGATATTATGTTAACTACAAGTATTTAAAAATTACAATCTATAGAAAATTGTCTAGCTTACATGTTTTTAAGTTTTATGGTCGTAAATAAGTTGGAACACATTTTGAATCAAATGGTCATGTTTGTTTTATAGTGTGATTAATTAGTACTAAAGCTAATAATTAAGTGAATTTTACGCGATTTGTTGCGTATCCTCGCTAGAAATAAAGATTCGATCAAGTAATATTAAGTCAGGTAGTATTTCATGACCTTATATAATTTATGACATGTGTATCTATAAAATAATTTATGACTGAAATTCATTTAAATTATGTACTCATTATAATAATAAAATAATAAAGTTGTCTACTTTTTTACTTTTTAAAACTACAAAAAATAAAGCTGTCAATTTTTTTAAAAATTATTATATAAATAATTAAGTGTATCCAACTAATATTTTGAAGAAAAAAAATTAAGATCGACGGAAATAAATAAATTTTCTGATTTTTTATCCGTCAAACTTATTTGTGAGTACTTTTACACCCGTTTTCTCGAAATTCTAAAGCAATCTCTAAAAATAAATCAAACCTAAAAGCACAATTGAATTATAAATAGAAATTCTACTTAAGAATGTGATAATAGATTTTCTTTTTTAAAAATACTTATGTGGAGATTTTCAAATAATTATAAAAAAAAAAATTTAATCAGATTCTTCAGAAGTGTCGAGTTCTTCAAAAATAGTACTAATTTGAAAAATTCAATACAAATACAAGGTTTCGCAGGTAAAAGAATCAGGAAGTCCGCATATTGTCGCTAGTCTAATTTTTTTGTTGAAAATATTAGTTAGGATACACTTAAATGTTTTATTTGATAATTTTAAAAATAAAAATAATTGATGATTTTATTGTTTTTATTATTATAATGAATATATAATTTAAATAGATCTCAACATAAGTTATTATATAGTACACATAGCATGAATCTATAAAGCCGTTGAATATAACTTGACCTAATTATATTTGATCGTAGTCATCCCATTGAAATATCAATTCTTGAGTTGACAATTAGAATTTAATAAATTATTTTAAATTAAATATATTGAAAAAACTATTCATTTTTAAATACGTAAGTTACTCCAACATCATATACTTCCTAGAATTCAAAGAAGTGATACTCTGATAATGTAATTTTTTAAACTTTATTGAATGATTCATAATATTCAAATATATTTATTAAATTAAATTTTAGAAATAAATTAATGGAGTGCCTTATTTTTTTTAAAATTTATTAATCCATAAAAGGGCAATTTTGATTTTTGTCCATTACATTGGATCTCAGCAACCCGACCCATTTAACAATTGCTCCGAAACTGATCATCTCCTCCTTCCAAATCCCGTCAACATTTGCTCCGGTCATAGTACTATCTCTCTCCGATCTCTGCAATTGAGAGGAGCTCAGCCAAAATTCTCTGCACAGTTCTCAAGTAAGTAATCTCTCTTCCAATCTTCTCGTATAAGCATGATCTAGTTTGAATCCACGCTTCAGATACAGAAATTGTTAGCTTTAAGCAAGACTTTGTGTGCAAAATTTAGCAAAGATCTGGTGAAGATCTACCCGAAAAATGTCTTGTTTGGCACTTTCTCTGCAACCCACTAATGGACCTGATATCTTACTCCAAACCCGTGAATGGTTTCCACCATCTCGAGCCCTAATGGCACTTTCAGCTTTTCGCCAGACGCGTCTTGCATTTTCCAAACAACCACAACAACCTACCGCTGAGTCATATCCTTCCGATCCTACTATGTCACTTGGTGATGACCCACTTGCTGCTTCTTCGGGTCAAGTTATTGTTGGGGTGGAATCGAGGTATCGGGTTGTGTATCGTCTTGTGAACTCGATTTATGTGCTTGCTATTACTACTGCTGATGATAATGATAAGGATATGGTTGTTAATAATGTGTTTGAGTGTATTAGTATTGTGAATCAAGCTGTTTCTGTGGTGGTTACTGCGTGTCGTGGTGTAGATGTGACACCGGAGAAGTTAGCTAAGAAATACGCGGAGATTTATATGGCGTTGGATATTGTGTTGAGAGGGGTGAGTAATATTAGGTTGGCGGCTATGTTGGCGTCTATGCACGGGGAGAGTATAGCAAAGATGGTGCATTCGGCTGTTCATACAGAGAATAAGATTAGGGGAGGTGATAGTTGGGTGAATGTGGAGGCACATTCATTGGAACAAGAAGGTGGATTGGAGACATTCTCGAAAGCGTTGTTTGAGTTGCCTCAGGAGACGTTGGAGGCGGGAGATGAAGTGGCAGCCACATTGGCGATTACGGGTGGAGAAAAGGAGGAGGAGAAAATTGAGGAGATTGAGGTGGAGCAGGATCCATTTGCAGCAAGTGATAAGATTAATCAGCCAGAGTCCTTGATGGGTGGTTTTAAGAAGGACAAGGCTAATGAGAGTTCAGATGTCGCAAAGGCATTGGCAGGGCTTGACGTGACTACCCTGCCACCTGCTGCAGCTAGCCAGTCAACTCACATCGGTGTGGAAGGGTTTGAAGGAGAGTATGGAGGGATAGAATTTAGTAATGAAGGATCAACACTGCGAGAAGATTTTGAAGGCATCAATGATGCCTGGGGTGGTGGTTTAGATGCTTCTGAATATGTGGGTACGAAAAAGGTGAAGAAAGATCAAGGACTTGGTGGGCTTGAATTACTGGCGACCAGTGAACCACCAAAAGCTGCAGCTGGAGCCACTGCTGAGGGTGCTGGGAAGAATCTTGAGGATATTTTGGTGAAGAAAATGAATGGTCCAGAAATGTTTATTACCGAGGAGATCAGTGCCGAGTTCAGAGAATCATTGCTTGCTAGAGTTGGTTTGATGGGCATTGTTTACTTAAGAACCCTGCCGCCAAAGTCTTCCGATGATAAGGAAACTGAGTTTTCTTTCAAGGTTGAAGACACTGCTGCTGTTAAAAGGTTTGTCATGCAAAATTCTCGTGTGAGCAGCCTTGGGAATGGTCTGTTTCATGTAAAGACAGCACCATCAAATGAGCCTATACCAATTATTAAGTACAGTTTGCTACCGCGTTTAACTCCGTTGCCTTTGAGGATTCGACTTGTTAAGCGTCTTAGCGGGTCATTACTTTCTGTAATGCTGCAGTACGTTGCAAATCCTGATATTCCAGTTCCATTAACCGATGTGACCTTTGTCCTGAAATTGCCAGTGGACCCAACATTATTGAAAGTTTCACCTAAAGCTGTGTTGAACCGCTCTGAGAGAGAACTGAAATGGCATGTTGATGAGATTCCGCTCAAGGGTCATCCTGGCAAATTGAAGGCGAGGTTCCCCATTGATATTAATGATGATGATGATGTGGTAGAGCTAGAGCTTTTTGGTTATGTAAAGTTTTCATCCCAAGGAACTAGATCTTTGTCTGGCATTTCTCTGCAGCCGGCTTTAGAGGGCAAGACTGATTTTTATGAGGTTGATCACAGGTATTCAAGTGGAGTTTACACATGCAACTAAGCATCAATGACTTCTTTTCTTGGTTTAAAATTTGTGTGTCTTTGTGCTTTCTATATTTTAACATCGTATGAGTTATCAAAGTATTTGCAGCTTTCTTTGAATGTACTAGCATGTAATTTAGATGATCTTGTTGTTGAGGAATTTTGTTTAAATCTTCCCAGTCTTTTTCTTTATGTAATGGAACAAAAGATTTTTTTATATCTGATATATCTTGTTTAAATAAAGTCTTCTTATTTTTGGATCCTGACATCTAACATCATTTAGAGTAATATGATCTTAAAAAAGCCAGCTATAACTATTTTTTTGGGGTGGAATATTTTATCTTTTAGTAAAATAAAGTACACAAGGAAGGGGATATAAATCTTAGTCAGAGACTCAGATCCTAACTAGAGGCTGTTTATTCAATCAATGGATCAATTACGTCTCAATTTCAAACTTGGCGACCACATAAAAGATTTAAGATTTTTTGATGTAGATAGAAGCCTTTTGTTACTTGATATAATTTAATCCCTCTTTACTCCAGTCCTGTCATATTAGCTTTAGTTGTGAGTGGTTTTATATGTTTTCTCCATATTTGAGCTGGAATGCCATAACTTCTTATACTTCATTGCTGTTTCTGGAACTAAGTAGAGAACGGATGGTGTAAGTGCGCAAAGAAGAGGAGGATACATTTGATCAAGTGAGCAGATGTAACCAAGTCTAAGAAAATAGAGGATTACGGATAAAGAACTTAAGGGTACATAACAAGAGATCTTTTGTCTTTTTGTGATATAGGTTTAATAATGCCCAGTGAAAAGAAGTAGTGAGAGCCAAGTATTGAATACTGATGGCTTGAGTTGAGCTTAAACGAAACAGTAAAGATACATATAGCCGACCCCAACTTGTTTGGGACTGACATTGTTGTTGACGAAGTAGTAGTTTTAGACTATTAGTATTGTAGCCACACATAGAATAGAATGGTAAATCATTGGTGCATATAGAAGATCGTATCTGATCAAGTGCTGGCAGTGGGGGAACAAATTATCTGTGGAAGATTATGTGGACATGGTTGAAATTAGGGTGGGTATTGGGTTGAAAACAAGACTATGTCAGGATAAATGGATGGAGAAAACTCTATCAAGATCTATATGAGCTGGTTAACAATAAAGAGTGCACCCTGGCAATCTGCTTTACTGGATATCACTGGAATCTGCGTCCAAGGAGGAAGATTCCGGATCGGGAATTCGTAAATGCTCTCTTCTCAGACCATCAAAATCGATGGAATTTTCTCGGTTAAGTCAAGTTACAACTGATTACTAAACAAAGAGATGGAGAGATATCCCAGATGCCATGCATAGTAACGTGAAGACGCAAGTCTCCTGAAAAGTGACTCTGGCGAAGCTGTTCATGAAGCTTGCTTTGACACATGATAATCTTCAAAAGGGGAATCCCATCACCTTCTGTAACAGATTAGTACAAACTTGGTGCAACTGTAACAATTTTTTTTTTTTGCTTTTTAAGAATATTATATGTTTGGGACTAGAGCTTATGTCAAGCTGAATAGCAGATTCTATTGATGGATATTGAATTATTAGTGGATTGTGCCCAGAGAAAGAGTATACTTATTTGGTAAAATAACCTTTGCTTTAACGACTCAGTTAGCATTACCCACTGATTCTGTTGCTTTACTTAATCATATTATTTGCTGTTGCTATTGTTTATCATCATGGTTTCTCCGCTAGTGTATTTAGCCCAATGGCCAGATACTAGCAGTTAAATCCCATCATATCATAGCAATTTTTAGAACAAGCAAGAAATCTTCAAAATGCAAGCATGTTATAAATCTTGAAAACAGAATGTATTTATGGCGTTACATTGTGGTAAACGAACAATAGAGTGTAGACTGTATTATATCAAAACTTGGCACATGGAGTGTCACTACCCTAGAAAAGAACAACTTGTTATGGCATGTCACCGAGTTCTTCCTCATTACCAGGCTGTTGCTGAGCAATATTGAATGTTGATCGTTGAGGAGCAGCGTTAACGAATCCTCGAACTGTCATTCCAGGCACAGATAATCTTCTGTTCAGCATGTTGTGATCTATAAACAGGACCACCACTGTTAAATCATCATGAAAGTTCCTCCTCTCATTTCTGCCAATCTTCTTTAGTTCATCATACTTTATTTTTTTAACTCTTGCCGCTTCATCCAGGGCTGATACAAGTAGTCTTCTAGCTATCCCCTGATATTGGATATAAACAAAATAAGTTACAAACATAAATCTTGATCAATTAAAAGCCAGTGGGGGAATAACAGATACCTTTTTAGGGTAGGTATTCACAATTTCTACAGCCTTTTCATTGGTTAAGAGTTCCCACAGTCCATCAGAAGCAAAGATAACAAATCTATCAACAGCTTGTAAGTTTCTTGAAGATATTTCTGGATCATCTCTTACTACTGGTCGCGTAATAGGTACTTTAAGGTGGAATTTTGGGTAACTTGTACTAAGAGCAAAGTCTTTGTTCTTCAGATATGCATCTCCAAGTGCTCTAGTTACCTAAAAAACATAAAGGGAAATTAATCAGCATCATGAACACAACAAGTCTCTGTGTATTTTAAAAGCAAACCTGTATAATGCCTCTAACACGCCATGCATTTCTTTCATAAACAACAATGTTTGGATCGTCTGGGTGCAAAGCAGTCAGTTCATTCCTGATGGCGACGTTACTGGCATTATGATCATTAGTCAATTGAACAGCAACAATTCTATTGGGTCTTTCTATATGATCATGACCTAATACTGCTCTAGAATCCCCAAGGTTAGCAACATATAATGTCCCATTCCAGATAACACCAACCAGACAGCAGGATCCCTTTGATGCAATCAATGGGTCATCGTCAAATCTCTCCCTCACAAGATGAAGGAAGGCTTGTTCAGTTGCAGCAAAGGCATTAGTAAGTACTTCTTCATCTATCGTTCGCCTTTCTTGAGCAAGCCCTGTAAAAAAAAACAAGTGTGTTTGTTTAGTCATTCTGAAGAAGAAACTAAAACCCTAAACAGAGTTTGTTATATTAACAAGGAAATAAAGGAAGTTGATCTCTCACTTATTAAATGGCGGCTAAGGTTATCACAGGCAAATCTTGAAGCTTGAGGGCCACCATGGCCATCATAAATCCCAACAAAGGTACCTTGACGACCTGGTTCAACGAGGCCATAATCTTCACATACTGGATTACCAGATACCGTAGCAAAAGAGAACTTCCCACATGAATGTTTCTCAAGGTCTTTAGACCATAGAGATGGGTAATCTTCACCCCTGCTCGAAGGGAGACTTCGACTTAAAGGCTCGCAACAAGCTAATACAATCTTTTCCACCCAACGATACATTCTTCTTAAACTCAAAATGCAGAAACACCCAAATTCAATTTCCCAACAAACAGCACTAAAACAGAGTAGAAGTACCCAGAAACTAGAAATGCCCAGAAACAGAAAATTCAACAGAGATAACCCAAACGAAGTAGAAGTGCAATTGACTAAGAAATAATCAATGTAGCTTCAAAAATGAAGTAGGAGAAGAGATCATTCTCTTTGAAATGAATGCAGTTATTGAGAGAGAATTGAAGATATATATAGAAGTTGTTTTTTTTTATTGAAGAGTCAGTTAGGGATGATCAGATTCTGTTAAGATCAGTAACTGACAAAGTGATGAGCTGGATAAGAAATATTTGATTCCCTTTCTTCTCTCTGAGTTACTACTCTTAAAGGTTTCTGCCATTGACGAGTTCTGTTAACAATGAAACCATAGGTGTTTATTTTGTTAAGTTCAAATGCTTACAGAACATGTAAATTTCGCATAAGAGAGAAGGCCATCGATTCTCAAAAGACTATCTACTTTTGAATTAACTCACCTACTGATTCTTTTGCGTTAATTATCATATTATTTGTTATTGATTGTGATATGTTTTACTTGAGTCGAGGGCCTATCAGAAATGGCCTCTCTTTTCCCTACAAGGTAGGGTAAAAGCCATGTACTCACAATCATCTCCAAATTTCGCTTGTGGAATCAGTTGAATTGGGTTATTCACATTAACTTTGACATGTCATTTAAGATATTGAAAAATCATTTAATAGTAAATTTATGGTTTTGTAGCCTCTCAACCGCATTAGTAGCACCTTCAAAAGAGGATTTAGTAAAACACGTGAAGAAACCAAATGGATTCTATAACATTTACGATATACACATAAAAATAATTTGATGTAATTTTCCCGACAAAGAGGTTAAGATGAAACTCTACCCGCAGTCCCCTAGCTCTGCGTGTTTGTGTGTGCATGAGAGATGTAAATAGAGAGAGACAATTTTTAGAACAAGCAAGAAATCTTCGAAAGACAAGAATCTGTATACAGAGTGTATTTTTTTTTTCGATCACAGTGCCAACTTTTATGGCCTTACAATAGGAGGTAGTTTCCTCAGCATGTCTTTGTACAATCAAAAATTTGCCCATGACCATTTGTATACCTAATAGTCTTGCTGTTCATCTGGACTGTATATCAAAATGGGAGATCCAGGCTTCCCTAGAAAAGAACAAGTGCAAACAACTTGTTATACCGTCTCAGTGAGTTCGGTCCCTGTGGATTCGGTCTCTGAGCTTTCGGTCTCTGTGGGTACGATCTCTGTGTGTTCGGTCTCTGAGCTTTCGGTTTCTGTGGGTTCGGTCTCTGTGACTCCAGACTCTGTAGCCACCTCTTGCTCAATATTGAAATGTGATGGTCGATGAGTGTCTACAAATCCTTGAACTGACATTCCAGGCACAGTTAATTCGTCATTCAGCTTCTCGTGATCTATAAAGATGACCACGACTGTTATATCATCATGTAAGGCCCTCCTGACATGTTTGTCATGATTCATAAGGTCATCGTACTTCTTTCTTGCACGTACCGCCACATTCATGGCTAATAGAACAAGTCTTCTAGCTATGCCCTGATATTGGATAAACAAAATAAGTTTAACCATACAAACATGACATTTTGATCAAATAAATGTCAGATACCTGTCTAGGGTAGGTATGCACAATTTGTACAGCCTCTTCGTTGCTTAAGAGATCCCACAGCCCAGCAGAAGCAAATATAACAAATCTATCGCATGGTTGTAAGTTTCTTGAAGATACAGATGGATCAGCTCTTATTACTGCCCCAGAAAGAGGTTCAGCACCAAGAGCAAATTCTGGCTTCTTCAGAAATGCATCTCCAATTGCTCTAGTTA